CGCGCGTTTTCCCGCTGGGGTTCCGTGGGGCTCTGCGCACGTCCGCCGGGAAGCGCCAAGAGGAGCGCCCCCCACGGCCTTTAAAAAGGCACTCCCCTCTCCTTCCACTGCTGGAAGCCAGGAAAGACTCATTCGGGGGCCGAAGTTCTCGCCCGAGGTGACTGAAAGCGGAGGCGGGCAAGTTTGGGAAGCTGGCCTTATTTGTGTCGTTGGATACGCATGTTTAAAGATAAAATTGCTGTCGTGTGCTAGGTAGTGTGCAGAAGTTCTGATATTATCACGTGCACTTCCTACTTAAAAATACTCATTCACAGGAAACTGACCCGAGCACAGTAGGGGAAGCGGCCCGGAGCGTGACAGGCGGCTCAAAGGACCCACTTTCCCTGGATCCAGGCCTACCTTGGGTCTCACCGCCGGCCAGCTCCGTCAAGAACCGCGGCGCTTCCAGTAAGTTCGGACAACAGCCTGTTGGGCTGTGAAGGGAAGGCTAGGAAGTCAGCTTTGGGGAGGGAGCTGCACCGCAGGGGACAGCTCAGGCAACCAGCGCCTGCTTCTGTCACGGTGCCTCGTGCTGTACCTTGGACATGGACATGCTCCCCTTTCCCCACTCACCTGTTGCAAGGCCATTCATTCTGGGGTCTTCTGACTACCCACTCCCTCACTTGCACCTTTGATGGATTAAAAAAACAAACATGAAAAGTGCCTGCACACAATAAGCCCTCTATAAATGTTAGCTTTAAAAAATTGTATCACACAATCCGCACCTTACACTACAACACAGGTCTTATATATGACACGGTTTTGTTTACCAACTGTTTCACTGTTCATATCCCTCAGGAAGTGAACTAAATGATCAGCTTGTCGAAAAGAGAGATCATTATTTATTTTGAATTCCACCGCACCTAGCCACATTTACTCCATAAATCCTTCTTGATTGGTAGCTAAATTCTCTATTGACAGCATGCCATTTATTTCAGTTCTGAGCAAGTAAGGATTCTTCTGTTAGGTCTGAAATACATTTGAGTTTGTAAATCAGTGGAATGTCATCCCACCAAAAAAGTAATTTAAATGTAGGTGAGCAGCTTACTGTAGTAGAATCCCATAGCTGAAACACTGGAAACACTGTGGGATGCACTTTATTTGGGAATTTATTTTTCCCAAAGATGAACAAGGCCCGATTATGAATTAAAAACATTAAAATGGCAACTCTTAGCCTACAGTGCAAACGGCAGATTATGTAAAACTGAATTTCTGTAAGCTTCAGTCTTTTGTCAGTAATCGAATATTAAGTACTAACTGCTTCTTTTGTGGTTATTGATTAATTAAAATGAAGTAATGATTCAATTTTGAAGATAAAGTTTCTGTGTGAACTTTAGTAAAAGTCATAAAAATACCTGAGACATAATATTTTATGTCATAATAAAAGAGACATTTAGAAAAGAGACATAATATTTAGAAAATAAGATTTTTCCCATAGTCAAAAACTCTGCAGAATTTTATTTGAAGCCCACTTTTGAAAACCACAAATCATTTCCTAGCATTTCCCTCTTTCAATTAATCAGTTTCCCATTTAAGTCTCTCAAGGTATTGAAATTTTCCAAGCTTGCCCTCTTATTGTCCTCAGAGTACATAAGTGAAGTAAGCTTTGTGCATATCAGCTACTCATTGCTTCCTTTCACAACTGAGCACACGAATGGGACTATCAGTGGGTCCAAAGTTCTGAGAAGACGTACTAACATTTTAATTAGTTAAGAAAAATACATGTTAAGGGTCAAAACAAAGTTACACAGAAGCAAGTACAAGGAAGGGAGTTCAAAAGTCTTCCTCAGCATTTAGTGTACGTGATTTCTTGAGATTCTTCAATATATTGATGGCACAAGTGACTGAAATCTCTCCATGAATTTTGTTGTCTCTTGTTCGAACATTTACAGCATTATTTATCTTTTCCTTTTCTCCAACAACTGTAGAAAAGAAAGGGAAATACATGTATTTTGAATCAAAAATTTACTAAACGAGTCAACATGACACGTGTGTCATTTTTTCCTCAATGTTAATCACTAAATATCAGTCTAATGATGATTAGGTTCATCCACTGATAGTCAAGTTTCTTGAGAAAGGAAGAAATGACTTTTAATGCCATCTCTCTATTGTCCACTTGAGAGAACAGCCATTGTGGTCTTGGGATACAAATGGGAGCAGGGAGCTCTTGCAGACCCCCTGACTATGTGGCATGCTTGATGAGTCAAGGGATGGACAGCAGACCCAAGAAAGCCAGCCAGAATTTTCTGGAATGTCAGTAAAAAGTTTGTTCTCTCTAATGACTCATATTGTGAGATGATATAGGGATCCCCACCCATGTGGAAAGAAGAAATCAGTCCACACACAAGCGGAATAAAGTAGATATCTAAGAGAAGCATAAAGAGCCTGAGTGAAACAGGAACCTGAAACGGAGAGAAATGTCCTGGTAAAGGTGGAGTTCCTGGTTACTCTTCTAATGGTTTGGATATTTAATCCCATCTTTCATGTCATGGGATACTCTAAGATCCTCCTAATAAATACAGTGTTTGTTTAGGCTAATTTGAGATTTCTGTCACCACAAGAAGTCGAACTGAAACACCACAATACCTACTACAGAGTCAAACATCAGTAAAAAACTGTCATTAGGACAACACTATGCAGATTTATTTTGCCTTCTACAGACTCTCTCAGCTTACAGGAGATAGCAGTACCATGCCTGCAATCAAATCAATGTCCATTTCTCTTGATTTTGGAATCATTTTTAAAACCAAAATTTTAGATTCTGCATCTAATTACTCATGTGCCTCAAGAACATTTTATTTTTCACCTAAATCCTTTTCTTTTGATCATTTTAAATACTGAATATTTTCTATCATTAGTTGAATCCCAAAGATTCCTAGTAAACCAGAAAAGCAAGGGAAAATACTTCAGGCCTGTCAAGCTAAAACATAAGCATAATTCTACTGATGAAATCATTTTCACATTTGCTTTCATTATTGGTTTGCAATATTAACTATTACTAGTAAAATTATACCACAGAATTCATGTGAAGCTTTATAATTCTTCTTCTAGCAAATAACAAAGAATACCTAAGAGACACTAAGCTGGAAACACCATGGATTCTTCTTTGTATGTAAGTATTAAATGATAAATCATGTTAATCAAGTAATTGTACCATAGTCTTTATTTTGTTTTTTGGAACTAAAATTTTTAAAATGAGCATTTGGAAATATATATATATGTTAATTTAAGTTACCCAAAATAAAATTATACTGAGCCAGCTGTGCATTTCGTATTTTCTTATTTAGTGTACTACTATGATCTACATCAACATCAGCCATGAATCCTTCTTGAAAAAATTCATTGGATACCTAGAAGAAAATGAAACACTTTTATTATTACCTCATTTATGGTAGCCAGCCTCTAAGATGACCCCAATGTTCCCCACCTCTTGGAATTCACCCTTTCATGTGATTCCCTGCACACTGTACCAGAGCTGGTCTATGTGACCATAGACAAGGATGAAGTGATGGTATGTTACTTCTGAGACTAGTTTATAAAAGACCGCAGCTCCCATATCTCTCTTGGTTCACTCACTCTGAGAGAAATCAGCTGCCATGTTGTGAAGACATTCCAGCAACCTATCAAGAAATCCAGGTGGTGAGGAACCAAAGTGCCCACCAAGTATGTGAGTGAGCCCCGAGGACTGCAGCCCTGGCCGACAGCCTCACTGCAGCCTCATGAGACTCTGAGCCAGAATCAATCAGCTAAGTTGCTCCTAAATTCCTAACTTGAAATAAACATATGTTTCTTCAAGCTGCTAAGTTCTGGGGTCATCTGTGATACAGTAACAGATAACATTCTTCCCTAGTACAGCCACATGGAAAAGAATAATTTAATTATGAAATGTCTTAAAATACCAATTTTCTCCAACCATTAAGAAATATTTCTTGTACAGCTACATAAACATGATTCATATGTTACTTCGTTATTGAACACATGCATTGTTAAATCAATGTGTTAGTTATGTAGTACTTTAAAGCACAAATGATATTCTAAGTCAATGACCTAAACAAAATACATGCAAGATTATTATGTACTTTAAATGTCTCTGATTTTACCTCAAGTGCATATTTTTCACAAGTTGACCCCACAGGGATGACCATTACCTGACGAGGAGACAGCCAAAAAGGCCTGAAAAATATATAAAATATGTATTTTCAAAGTCTAATAATGACCAAGTATTATGTGATTTTAACATTACCAAAGATTTTTCTAAAGATTTCATAAGAGAGCAGTTTCAGTAGAGTGGTGTGGAAAAAAAAACAAACTATGCTGAAGTCTGAAGGCAGTAGAGAGAACAAAAGGGAAAATTTGGAATTTTGATAGGAAAAGGGTAGAGAGAATGGGTGGGCAGACAGCAACACATGCCCAGCAATTGCACTCCTGATCATTTAACTCAGAGAAATAAAAAACATGTTCGCATAAACCTGTACACTAATGTTCATAGCAGCCTTACTTATAATAGCCCCAAACAGGAGGTAGCCAAATGTCCTTCAGTGGGTGAATGGTGAAACTGGTGCATCCACATCATGGAACATCATCCAAAAAATAAAAGGAATGTTGAAACAGCATGAATGGCTATTGAGGGAATTCCACTGAGTGAAAAAAACGTGCCTTGAAAGATTGTATACTGGATGATTCCATTTGTGTAACATTCTTGAAATGACAAGATGATAGAGATGGAGAACAGATTATGATTGCCAGATGAGTGGAAAAAAGCAGCTGGGAATTTCTCAAAGAGCTAAAAATAGAATTAGCACTCAACCCTCAACCCAGCAATCTCATGGCTCATACCCAAAGGACCATAAATCCCTCTTCCAAAAAAATACCTGTACTCATATGTTTGTTGTAGCACTATTCACAATAGCAAAGACATGGAACCAACCCAGATGCCTTTCAACAAAGAAAATGTGGTATATATACACCATGGAATACTACAGAGCCATAAAAAAGAACAAGATCATGTCTTCTGCAGCTACATGGATGCAACTAGAGGCCATTATCCTATGCGAATGAACCCAGAAACAGAAAACCAAATACAGTGAGTGACAGCTAAATACTGGGTACACGTGGACATAAAGATGAGAACAACAGACACTGGGAACTACTAAAAGGGGGAGGATGGGAGAGGAGGAAAGGGTTGAAGAACTACCTATTGTGTATACCATGGTCACTATTTGGGTGACAAGTTTAATAGAAGCTTAAACCGCACCACCATGCAACCATGTAACTAACTGCATGTGTCCTTCCTGAATTAAACATTTTTTTAAAAAAGGACTGACAGGTCAGGCTCGGTGGCTCAACCTGTAATCCCAGCACTTTGGGAGACCAAGGCGAGTGGATTGCCTGAGGCCGCGGGTTTGAGACTAGCCCAGGCAACTTGGCGAGACATCGTCTCTACAATAAATCAAATAAATTAGCTGGGCGTGATAGCATGAGCCTATAATTCTGGTTACTTGGAAGACTAAGGCGGATGCTGGGGTCGATGCTGGGGTGGCTGTGAGTATGCCACAGCACTCCAGCCTGGGCGACGGAGTAAGACTCCAACTCAAAAAAAAAGGAATGACAGTACCATACCTTAACAACAACAAAAAAAGGCCAACGTAAGGGATCCTACAAGTGATGGGACTGTCCTGCATCTTGATTGGTGGTTCCTCCATCCATACATGTGACACAATTTTATAGAACTACACAAACACACACAAATGAGTGCCTGTGAAACTGATGATATCGGAACAAGGTTGGTGGAGCATATCGATGTCTGTTTCTTGGTCATACAGTTTTGCAACATGTTACTACTGGGGAAAACTGGATTAAGGTATTCTGGTCCTTCTGTATTATTTCTTATAACTACATGTGACCCTGCAATTTTTGTTTTTTCTAAAGATGGGAAGGTTGGTATAAGCAATATCTGATGTGGGACAAGTTTGTCTTTCCTCTGGTCATGAGCGTTTAGTTTGAAGGCGAAAGAAAATGCAATGGGGGCTATTCCAGATGGCATTTTATGAATGTACATATTTATTATTTATTCTCAGATTGCAAACACAATATGTGATAAAATTAATAATACTATGATGAAGCACAGAAATATAGTATATGTAATGAAAAGTGACTGCTTCCTTCTGGGCTCCTCAGTGGTCATAGGGAACCCTCTAAGGTGAACAGCATGCATTGAAGGAGGGGCAGCAAGATGGTAAGAGGCAGCAGCCCGGACTGTGGCCATACATTCTGTAGATGGTAACGGGATCTTAGAAGGGCTTGACACTGGTGAAAAGATAACCTTAATTCTACTGTGTTCCCAAATGGCAAACAGTACAGTTTTATATCACTCTGCCTTTGTTTTTGTTTTCTGTGCTGATAAATGGAACAATAATTCTTTTATTTGCTGTCTGGATACTTGTTAATTATAAGGCAGGAATTACCAATTTTTTCTGCACTAATTTTATTTTGTTAGATGTGGTTTTTAAGAATAACAGACATATAGCTTTCATAGCTTTTCTTTTCCATATTACTTACCATTTCCCTCCACAGTTTTCTGAAAGAATGGCTATCATTCTTTCCACTGATCCCAAAATGGCTCGATGAATGATCACAGGCCTCTGCTTATCATCCCCATCCTTACTAAAAAATGAAAAGTATACATTTAAATATTTTCCCAAGATTCAATAATAACTATCTTCTTCTCATTTTTTTTGAGTCAGGGTCTTACTTTGGCATCCAGGCTGGAGTGCAGCGGCATGATCACAACAATCATGGCTCACAGCAGCCTGGACCTCCTGGGCTCAGATAATCCTTCCACCTCAGCCTCCCAAGTAGCCAAGTAGCTGGGACTGCTGGGTGTGCACCACCACACCCAGCTAGCTGATCTTTTCTTTTTTTTTTTTTAATGTAGAGACAAGGTTTCACTATGTTGCCCAGGCTGGTCTCAAACTGCTGGACTCAAGAAATCCACCTGCCTTGGTCTCCCAAAGTGCTGGGATTACAGGTGTGAGCCACTGCGCCCGGCTTTAATTTTGACTATAGATTTAAATTAGCATTTTTTGATATCTCTCCATTAACCTTTGTTTTGTGACTCTTGTTTTCTCAAAAGACTGCTTTGCTTACTAGTCTTTTTTCCTCCTACTTTTAAAACTTTCATTGAAGAGCATTGAAAACATACAAAAATAGAGAGAAAAGTACAATAAACTTCCACACCCTCTCCCAGCTTCACATAGTGTCAACTCACAGCCAGTCTTATTTAATCCAAATGCCTCCTATTTCTCCTATTATCCACCTTCCCTTGTTGTAAACATCATTTTCTAAAATATTCCTGACATTTCTTCTAGAACTCTACTGGTCAAATTTCGTAAAATTCTTGTAACATATACCTTATATTTGATGACTCCCTCCCCCCAAGGGGAAGTGGAAAAAGCAAATTACAACTGTAAATTGTAATGAAGTAAGTCATCCCAAGATCTCTGTTCACATTTCTCAGAACATAATAACACAAAGTTCTTATGAGAAAAAAAATTTTTAAACAAAAAAAGCAGGGTTTCTGTTGCCCAGGCTGGAATGCAGTGGCACAATCCATAGCTCATTGCAGCCTTGACCTCCTGGGCTCAAGTGATCCTCCTACCTCAGCATCCTGAGAAGCTGAGGCTACAGGCGTGTACCACCATGCCCAGCTATTTTTTTTTTTTTTTTTTTTTGGTAGAGATGAGGTCTCACTATGTTGCTTAGACTGGTCTTGAACTCCTAGACTCAAGTGATCCTCCTGCCTCGGCCTTCCAAAGTGCTATGATAACAGGCATGAGCCACCATGTCCAGTACAAGAAATTTTAACTAAAAATTGGACCAGCTAGCTATTGTTAAAACACACACACACACACACACACAATTAACATAAAAGCAGAGTTCTGTTCATTGATCCCACTTCAAATAAGTTATAACTGGATATCAACAGTGCCAAGAGTTAATGCAGACTAATTGAAGACAAAACCCTCTGTCTAAATCCCACAGAAAGCTTTGGGGCGGGGATAGGCAGCTTGAGTTCAATCCTGTGCGATATATGAAGTCATTCATCCCACAAACTGAAGCCAGTATGGATTATTCTTGAAGATAACATAATGTTTTTGTGTAGGGAATGAAAGAGACGCAGGATAACCCTTTCACAAGGCCTTGGTATCCAGAAATTTCTGTCCCATCGTTTATTTCAATTGGGTCTAGCCTTCAGATGGGCAAACAGTGACATAAACTCTGCTTACACATCTATGCTATCAGATAAACATTAGAATGACTATAAAGTTCCCCAAAATAATCCCAGTGGATTTGGTTATAATTATGTTACATTATAGATAAATCTAAAGAGAATATCTTCACGATGTTGGTTCTTCCCATTCTAAGAGTGTGGTATGAATCTTCATTTAAATAACTCTTTTTTAATGGTCTTTGATAAAATTTTGTGGTGTATACCTCATACACATCATAAAATTATATAGTCATGTACCACTTAAAAACGTTTTGGTAGGCCGGGCTTGGTGGCTCAGCCTATAATCCCAGCACTTTGGGAGGCATAGGCAAGTGGATTGCCTGAGCCTGCAGGTTTGAGACCAGCCCGGGCAACTTGGTGAGACCTCTTCTTTACAATAACTAAAAAATTAGCCGGGCATGGTAGTGCATGCCTGTAATTCTGGCTACTTGAAAGGCTGAGGCAGAGGACTGCCGGAACCCAGTAGGTCAACGCTGAGGTGGCCGTGAGCATGCCACTGCACTCCAGCCTGGCAACAGAGAAGACTCCGACTCAAAACAAAAACAAAAAGCATTTTGGTAAACTATGGACTGCATATAAGACAGTAGTCTCATAAGATTATAATAGAGCTAAAAAATTCCTATCACCTCATGATTTGTGTTACAGTTTCCTACAGTATTCGGCACAGTCACACGCTGCACAAGTTTGCAGCCTAGAAGCAATAATAGGTTATACCATATAGCCTAGGTGTGTTGTAGGCTATGCCATCTAGATTTGTGTAAATCCTGCACACCCCATAATGTTTGCACAATGATGAAATCACCTGAGAACACATTTCCAATATCCAAGAATGTACAATCACACTTACATTTATTTTTAAGTTTATTCCCAGATATTTTCTATTTTGTTGTTGCTGTTGCTTCTGAAAATGTTTTTTCCCATTGCATTTCCTAGCAGGTTATTGCTAATATACATGAAAGCAAAATTGATTTTGGCATTTCTATCTTCATAATTAGTTCCAACTTTTCTCCATTTGGTTCTGTTGGATTGCTCTATATTTTAATATCTACAAATCATGATTTTATCTTTTTTTCAAATATTTGCATTCCTAGAATAATTTTAGTAACAGTACAAATAGTAGGCATATCCACCTTCTTCATAACTATATTGATAAATGTTCTTTATTATAAAGAAATTTCTGGTCCTTTCACAGGAACGAAAGTTAAATTTTATTCAGTGCCTTTCTGCATTGTTGAGTATAATGAATGACAACAACACACTCTCAATACTAGACTACCCTCACTTTCTTAATCATGGTGATGACCTTGATGCATCTCTTTCCTTCACCCCTCATACCTAAGCCTGAACAAATCACGTCAGTTATTCCTGCAAAACGCACCCCAAACAGTCCCACTTTTTTGTCTCAATTACTACCAAGTGGTTCTAACCATCATCATCTCTTATCTGGTCTACAGACCATACTCCCACTTTCACTCTCCTACTCTCCATTTGGGTGACTGTGTGACTGTTTCTCTGTGTCCTCCTTGGATAAGAAGTTTCACTTTGATTTCGATGGCCCTGAGTAATCTTTTGTTATAGAACCAATCCTGAAGGTCCGACTATCCTACTAAAGCTACCAACAGTGCTGGCCCATGCCTCTCCAAACTGGGAGAAATTAGTGGGACATTTCAAAGTCACACTAGCTCCAAGGAGCCAGTCAGGTGAAAAGCTAAGGGTCAGCTCCCAGAAACTTTTCCACTTGGTGCATGGTCTGTTTGATTCATAAATGTAATGGCCAAGAGTGTTCAGATTCTATTGAATGAGTTGGGTTATTTCCACATAAAGTCTACCCCTCATTTTCTTCATACATTTTAGTAGGTTGGATATTAGTCCCCTCAAATCTCATGTTGCAATGTGACCCCCCAATGTTGGAGGTGGGTTCTAGTGGGAGGTGTCTGGGCTCTGGAGGCAGATCCCTTATGAATGGCTTAAATCCCTCACTGTGGTGAAGAGTGGGTTTTCACTCTACTTCACATGAGATTGAATTGTTAAAGAGAGCCTGGTACCTCCTCCTCCTCCTCTCTCTTGCCCCCTCTCTCACCATGTGATATGTCTGCTCCCCCTTCACCTTCCACTATGATTGAAAGCTTCCTGAGGCCTCACCAGAAGCAGATCCTGGCTCTTTGCTTCTTGCATAGTCTGTAGAACCATAAGCCAAAATAAACCTCTTTCCTTTGCAAATTACCCAGTCTCTGGTATTCCTTTTAGCAATGCAAAACAAACTAATACATTGGGGAAACAGAGTTTTGCAGACATAAACTTAGGACACTATCTTTCCCAAAAGGCTCAAATTTATTTTTGAAAACGCTGTATTTTCTCCTTCATGATCCTAAGTATTTTTAATACTTTGCTTATTTCTTCAGTTTTTTAACCTGTCTCCATGAGATAACTCTTAATGTAGCTCTACAAATCTTAATCAGAACCCAATATGGAAAGACTAAAATACAGTAAAATTACATACGTATTGCTTAGACACATATTGAGATCAGTCCACAAAATCATATACTCTGAGAAAATGGTAGTTCATTTATCATAAGAATCTTAGAAAAGCATTCTATTAAAAATTATTGGATTTAAAACATGCCAATATTTTTTTCTTTTTTGTCTTTATAAATAATTTTGAAAGAAAGAGAATGCAACACAGTATCTAATCAGTACTACCAAAAAATTGAACATGATGAGAAGTGGAGAGTTTCTAGGGACATTGCTGTGATTTTTGTCTAATTCAGATTAGGGGAATGGTCTTTAAAAAGAAGTTGGTACCAGGCAAAATGGAATGAGCGTACTCCACTCTAGCTCTCTCACTGAATGTACACACAGAGTCTGGAGAGAATGCATGCAGCAGTTACCCAAGGACTCTGACAACTAAATGGTAACAGTGAGTTACAGAAGACCTTAAATATTACCAGGCCAGCAGTGAATTTCCGGTAATTTTGTCTTCCAGTTTCCCATGGCCCAGACTTAAACACATCCCCAAAACAAGTAAACACCAGATGCAGACAGGAAGAGCTCCAGAAGAAACCCTCACTTTCTGGCCCAGGAGCCAGAAAGTTAACTCCTAAGTTTCAGGAAGAGTTGGGGAGGAGGACCCTGGGTTTTTGTTTCTTCTCTTTTTTCTGCTCCCTTCTCCCTGGCCCCTAGACCCTCCCACAGTGACAAAGAAGCAGCAGAAACCAAACAAGCACCTAAAACTCTGAGGAAAGGAATCTTCTATAATTAGAACTCTGGTCCAAGCGCATAGGGTGAATCCTTGTTTTTCTTTTTCTGTCTCCATAGACCTGAGCTTGGTCTCTTGACACAAATGTAGTCATGGAAAGAGCATGGTGTACTGGGGAAGCTAAACCCCCAGCTTTCTGGCCACAGGACCACCAAAAGGGAATCTAAGGGTGTCAGGGAAATTACAGAAAGCAGGAGGCTCAAAAGAGTTATCCCATAACATAGCATGTGAATTCACCTCTGCACATGTTAAACAGCACACAAAAGGCTTGATAAGAGAACAATGAGACTTGGCCACTGAGTGGCACAAACACAGAACAGATCTGAATATCACTACAAATGCTTTGAAAACTGAACTAACATTGGAAGCCCACAGAAGGTAGGTTGGAAATCACTGCCTGAACCTAACCAAGCCAATTCATTGCTTAAAACAAACAAATAAAAATACTCCTGAAAAGTTAAAAAACAAACAAACAGCATATCATAACATAACATTCAAAATGGCCAGGCATGGTGGCTCATGCCTGTACTCCCAGTATTTTGGGAGGCCAAGGCAGGAGACAGGAGGATCATGTGAGGCTAGGAATTTGAGACCAGCCTGGGCAATATAGCGAGATCCTGTCTTTACAAAAAATTTAAAAATTAGCTGGGTGTGGTGGCATGTGCCTGTCCCAGCTACTCAGGAGGCTAAGACAGGAGGAATGCTTGAGCCCATGAATTCAAGGCTGTGGTGAGCTATGGTTGTACCACCGTTTCAAGCCTAGGCAACTGAGTGAGACCCTGTTTCTTTTTAAAAAGAAAGAAAGAAAGAAAGAAAGAAAGAAAATTCAAAATATCCAGGATACAATCCAAAATTACTTGGTATATAAATCATCAGGAATCTCTCAAGTTATGAGAGAAAAGACAAGAGTTCAACTGCAAGAAGACATAGATGATGAAATTTCCCAACACCCTAAAGTATCTATGATAATTGCTCTAAAAAGCAAGGGTAAGCCAGGCTCGGTGGCTCAGCCTGTAATCTCACGCCTTGGGAGGCTGAGGTGAGTGGATTGCCTGAGCCCGCGGGTTCGAGACCCGCCTGGGCAACTTGGTGAGACCTCATCTCTACAATCAATCAAAAAATTAGCCGGGTATGGTAGCGCGTGCCTGTAGTTCCAGCTACCCAAAAGGCTGAGGCGGAAGGATTGCTGGAGCCCAGCATGTCAAGGTTGCAGTGGCCGGGAGTGGCCACTGCACTCCAGAGTCTGGGCGACACAGTGAGACTCCAACTCAAAAAAAAAAGTAAGGGTAAACACACTTGGATTGGAATGGCTAGAATGATAAAAGTGTCATCAAAGAAATATAAGATATAAAGTAAATAATTTAAAAATGCAACCAAAGAATTTCTTTCTTTTTTTTTTTTTGAGTTGAGTCTCACTCTGTTGCCCAGGCTGGAGTGCAGTGGCATACTCAAAGCCACCACAGCCTCGACCTGCTGGGATCAGGTGACCCTTCTGCTTCAGCCTTCCAAGTAACTGGGACTACAGGCGCACATCACCACACCTGGATACTTTTTTATTTTATTTTATTGCAGAAACAAGGTCTTGCCATGTTGTCCAGGCTGGCCTTGAACCCCTGGGCTCAGGCAATCCTCTTACCTCCACCTCCCAAAGTGCTGCAATTATACGCATCAGTCATGGCACCCAGCTAGTCACAAACATTTTTTAAAAAGTCACTGGATAGACTAAATAGCAAAGGAGACCATAAAGAGACAGTGAACTTAAAGATAAATGAATAGAAAGTAACTAATCTCGAATGTACACAGAAGCATAAAGAAAGCATAAACAGGACTTCAGAAAACTGTGGAACCATACCAAAAGGTCTAATGTTCAGGTCACCTAAGTTCCAAAAGAAGAGTAGAAAAAGTATATTATGGAAAAAGTATATATGAAGAAACAATGACTGAAAACCGTCTAACTGTGGCAAAAGATATAACTTACAGAGTCAAGAAGTTCAAGCTCCAACAAGATAAATTCAAAGTCCACAGTCAGACACATCATAATCATGTAACACACACAGGGGAAAGGACTCAAATTACTGCAGATTTCTCATCAGAAACCTGGAAGCCAGAAGGATGCATAACAGTATTTTTAAGGGGTTGCAAGTAAATAAGTATCAACCCAGAATACTACACTCAAAGAAAATATCCTTCAGAAATGAAAGTGAAATGAAGCCCTTCTCAGAAGGAGGGAAACTAGGCAATCCATCATCTGCAGACCTGCTTTAAAGGAACTGATAAAGAAAGGAACTTTGTTGTCAGAGAAACGACACTAGAGGGATACTTGGACTATCAGGAAGAAAGAAGAAAAACACAAGTGGTAAATCACTGGATTATAAGCAGGCACACAAATACAAATTGTACAGCACATATACTAGACACTCACTAATGTTTATTTTTGGATTGCTAATGCTGAAATGACAATTAGGATATTGGTACTACAATATTTATCATATTCACTCACCTAACATATGTGAGATTAAATCTAATAGGCAGTTGAAAGTCCAGCTGAATTGTAGCACATTGATGGTATCTGCCAATGGCATCCTTGATTTTTACATCAATCTGTAAATTAAATGATGCTTGCTTAAAGACAACATTTATTTTTCTTTTAAATTTTAATCTTTTTTGAAACTTATGATCTACTTACTTTAGGACCATAAAATGCTCCATCTCCTGGGTTCATTTTCCATGGTTCTCCAAAGTCCATCAAACTATTCTGCAGTTGCTGGTTTTTTTTTTTTTTTAAAATAGAAAATATTTGAAACTTCTACTTTATTGTTCATTTTACCTTTTTGACATATAGCTTACAAAAAGTTACTATAAATCTAAATTACATTCTACATTAGTTTAACATACATTTATTTATAGAGCATCTTACATTTAACAAGCTATGAGGAGGGACTACATAAAGATGATTAAGGTGGTACTTCCTCTCTAGAAACATATACATTTTAACTGGGAAGAAGGTAAATTGTTCTTGTGAATTCCAGGTAAGCATTTAGGGAGGGGATGCTCTGGCCCTCCTTCCAATATGGGCCCCATCGGCCCTACACACTAACCAGCTTCTGCCTCCTGGTGAGAGTTCTGAGACCTCTGCTCCTTGTAGGTGGGTCCTCCATACATGCAAAGGCATGAAAGCCTTGATCTCGCTGCCTCTTTACTCTGTGTCTGGGTGAGTCAGAAGGCCAAGATGGCAAGTCTTGCCACTCTTCTGTTTTTCCTCCACCTCTGTACATGTGGGGGAGGGCAGTCCCTTAGGATTTAAAGACATGTGGGAGCTGGAGGCCCCATTTTGGTCTTCAGCCCAAGCCACTACATACTTTCAACTTAGCTTGTAGTGAAGATGCTCAGCACTGAAGGTGAGTGTCTGTCCACATTAAAGGGTTCTTTGAGTCTTCTGGTATTCCCATAAATACAGGTTCCTTAGGAAGTACCTGGGCATTCTCAAGTTCTTGCACAGAATACTGTCCTCCACCACCCAACCTCCTATCATTCATCACCCCACCATATTGGTGCCCATGAGGGAGCTGACATTTGGGAGGGAGGTGCCTTATGGAGAAACCAAAACAGTGGTAAAGGCTTGGAGTCAAAGCTGGAGTTGTCGAGAAAGCTGACTTAGAATCTGGTCTTGAGAGAGACAGGGACATCATTCCTGAGATTCTGGGCACGTCTCTCATGGGCCCTACCCTGCAGAATCAGTTTCCTTTCCACTCAGAACAAGAGAAGGCCACCTCCACAGAGTTTTCACTGGTTTGGAAAAGCCTCTATCCAATTCCACTCTGTCTCTAGAAGGAGAAGAGACACTGGTTTGTGTTCCCAGAGAAAATGAGACCCAGCTGCAGCAGATAACCAAGTGATAGAAAGAATTCCTGCAACCCTCCCGGGAGTTAAAAAGCCAAGGAGAAATACGCTTTGGAGAAGAGCATAAAGCAGAGATCACTGTTCCTCACTGGCCACTGAGTACAGAGTTAGGAGGGTCCAATAGGAGCAGCCAACGCTAAGAAGACAAGACCAAGAAAGCCTCAGGTTTATGCAAGAAGCAGCTCTTTCAAAGCATTTAGAGACTCTGAAGACAAAATACTCAGCTGCTCATCTCATTAATTTCCTGATAAGGAGTAGTTATTTGAGAAAAATTTCCCAAAAGTAAAAGCAGGTTCGTCCCTTAATGGGACAGTCACATTCCTGGGTGACCTCAGGCTTGGCTGCTAAACTATTAAAAGACAGTGAAAATGGTGAGAATTCCAGCCCATCCTCCCCATGCCAGGCCTACACCTGGTTCGTCCCTTTTCTTAGCTCCCCACACCCCACCTACCTCCAAATGAATCGAGTAATAATGATGATGATACTAACACCTAACATCTACTGGGCCCTTACATGTGCCTGGCATTATGCCCAATACCTCATATAAGTTATTTCATTTAGGTTCACAATAACCTCATGAAGTGGCTGTTATCACTATATCACTATATCACCACCATCACCACCACCACCACCACCACCATCATCACCATCTCATCATCACTTGACCCTGAAGCTTAGAGATCTTCTATAACTCGCATGGAGCTAATGTCTGAAAGTGGGCAAAACGGCACCAAAGCCAAGCTTTGAATCCTCTTTTCCTCCTGTTTCCACGTGGCTGACAGGACACTGAGTCAGCACCCCTCCTGGGGTAGGTAGGCTATCTCATTTGACTTTCTTCTTTCATGCACTGGACATGGAGGAAGAACTGGAAGGACACGGAGGGGCATGGAGCAGTATGAAAAAGGCCTTATTTATTTTTTTAATGCTGTATTTTACTTTATTTTTTAAAATTTTAGAGCTGCAGGGTACATGTGAGGATTTGCTATATAAGTATATTGCATGAAGGTGAGGTTTGGGCTTCTAATGAGCCCTCTTCCTGCAGTAGTAGACATGGTACCCAAACGGGTGGTTGCGTGCCCCCTGTTCCCCCTCCTTTAACAGTGCCCAGCATCTGTTTTTCCTGCCCATGTGGAAAAGGTCTTATTTAGAATTGGAGACTAAACTGCTTCTATGCAGCCTCTGCCTGGCCTATGTTCTTACTAACTACATAGAGATAATTTATACTATTAATACAGTGTTCCTCTAGTTCTTATTTCTTGTGATGTGTATTCCGCTTCTGTGAGTACAGTAGTCCCCCATTATCCACGGTTTCTCTTTCCTCAGTTTCAGTGACCTAGAGACAACTATGGTCTGAAAATATTAAATGGAAAATTCTAGAAATAAACAACTCATAAATTTTACATTGTGCACTGTTCTGAGTACCAGGATAAAATCTCACACCATCCTGCTCTGTCCCACCCAAGATGTGAATCCTTCCTCTGTCCAGTGTCTGCATGCTGTCCACACATTAGTCATTGAGTGGCCATCTCAGTCATCAGATCAACTGCCAAGGTTGGGCAATGCTTGTATCCAAGTAACCCTTATTTTACTTAACCATGGCCCCAAAGCACAAGAGCAGTGATGCTGGCAATTTGGATATGCCAAAAAGAAGCCATAAAGTGCTTCCTTTACGTAAAAATGTGAAAGTTCTTGACTTAATAAGAAAAAAAAAACCCTATGCTGAGGCTGCTAAGACTGTTGATAAAAATGATTCTTCTTTTCATGAAATTGTGAAGAAGGAAAAAGAAATTTGTGCTAGTTTTGCTGTCACACCTCAAAACTGCAAAAGTTCTGGCCTCAGTGCATGATAAGTACTTAATTACAAAAAAAGAAAAGGCAAACAAGAAAAGGGTATGAACAGAAATGTGTCCCAATTGACAGCAATCAGGTTTGGTACTATCTGCAGTTTCAGGCATCCACTGAGGATCCCTGCAAATAATGGGGGACTACTATATTCCAGGAAGAGGAGGACTGGCAGGCAGAGCAGAGTATCTGGCCATAATACCATCTTCATTTCTAATAAAAACTAATGTGGAAGACACATTGTATTCTTTATATGTTTAATAAGGAAAAAAAAAAGAATGTGATAAGCTCCTCGATCTTGGTTTTAAAAAGCTCAGATGTGGTATCTAAGTGCAGGTGTCTTCAGACAGGGCAGAACCCCCTGGACACGACTGTGAAGGGGACTCCAGCATCAGGTGTGCACGTCTACATCCAGAATATGTAACCCTGGGACTCCACGAGTCAGATTAAGATGGTTCAACAGGCAGTGGTTTAAAATAAACCACACAAACCCAGAGTTAATTCAGAGAATTTCTTTAGAAGCTTATGCCAGTTATTGGTGACCATTACTGAAAAAGAGTATAAATGAAAACCTTGAAAAGTTCAAATTTGAGTTTTAAAGTCTGAAACAAATGTAAGGTATTATTATTATCATTGTTACAACAACAACAAAAAATGGATAGCCACAGCCTACAATCTGCATATTTATCTCATCACTTCCAATTTTAAAATTTCAATTGCAAAGTATCACACCCTCCTGCAAGGGAGTGCAGTCTCTCAAGTGCTTTCCATATCACTGAAATGAAGAGCAAGATTCTCCTTACCTTTTCAGCTTCGTTCCATATTTCAATCTCTCCTAGGAAGTTTTTAGGCCTTGTTGACAAATTTAATTGAAAGGAGAAGCCAAATGTTGAGTAAACAGATTTCAAAAACTGCAAACATCCCTTTATTTCATCTTCAATCTGAAATCAGAGCAAATGAAATATTCAACTAGAATACCAAATTAAATTCATTTATGGAATTTTTAAAAACAAAAAAAACTATTCCTGTCAGGTAGAAATTAAGCATGTTTCTAATGGAGTGCAGTCAGTGACACAGGTTTGGTTGTTTATCCAATTCTTGCTCGAATCCTTGTTTGAATGCCAAGCATGTGCAGGATGCCAGCAGCTCCAGTCCAGTCCAGTCCAGGGGATGGAGAAACAGCAGGTGAGGGCACGCTGTGAAAAAGCAGGGCCACACAGGAGAAGAGTGGCAAGGAAGGGCTGCCCAGAGTAAGTGAGACAAGCTGCAGTCAGAGGATAAGTAAGAGCTCTCCATGGAGAGGTAGGACAGGCGCTCTCCAACAGAGGAAACAGTGGGGGTGAAGGCCCAGAGGACAGAGGAATACACTAAGTCAGGGAGCTGCACAGCATATATCGGAAGAGGGGAGAGGGAAGAGGGTGGTAGGTGATCAGTGGTGGGTAATCTGGCAGAGGACACAGAAAATTCAGTGCCTTCACAGCCTGGGCAATGTACGGACTTCTTAGTTTGAGAACGAGAAGCCAATGAAGGGTTTTAGCAGGAGACTAACACAACCCAATGTGTTCTTTCACAGAACGGAAAATGGACTGGTAAGCTTAGAAGAAAGGCCCGGGCAACCCCTTTGGGTCCCCTCCCACTGTGGGAACTTTTCTGTCCTCTCAATAACAATACACCCTGCTTTCCAAAAAAAGAAAAGAGGCCCATTAGGAAGTTGGTGGAGTCATTAAGGAGCAAGATGATGATGACTTGAATCAGAGTACTTTTAACTCCTACCTCTATTCCCCTTTCCTTCCAAAATATGATGACATGAATGTTAGACATCTTGTTATAGTCCCACTGGTCTCTGAGGAATTTTTTCTTTCAGTCTGTTTTCTCTGTTTTTAAAAATTCCTTCCTTCCTTCTTTCCCATCTTTTCCCCTCCCTCCTTTCCTTCCTTTCTTCGACAGAATCTCACTCTGTCACTCAGGCTGGAGTGCAGTGGTATGATAATAGCTCACTGAAGCCTTAAACTCCCAGGCTCAAATGATCTTCACACCTCAGCCTCCAGAGTAGCTAGGACTGCAGGTACACACAACCATGTCCAGCTAATTTTTCTTCTTCTTTTTTTTAATGTAGAGACAGGTCTCACAGCATTGCCCAGGCTGGTCTCAAAACCCCGGGCTCAAGCAATCCTCCCTTCTCGGCCCCTCAAATTTTAGAATTTCAGTAATTTTTATTTTTGTACTCAAGTTTCCTGTCTCCACCATTTTGCTCATGAAAAATTCACTGAACTTTTTATTTTTCAGTTCTATAATTTCCATTTGGTTCTTCATTATATCTTCTATTTCTTTCCTGAGATTTTTCTATTTCTTTACTGAGATCTCATATTTTTTTGTTTCAAGTATGTTAATAATTGCTCATTAAAGCATTTTTATGATGGCTGCTTTAAAATCTTTGTCAGATAAGTACAATGTCTTTGTCATCTCAGTGCTGATATTCATAGACTGTCTTTTTTAAATTCAAGTTGTGATTTTCCTAGATCTTAGTATAATGAGTGATTTCCAATTACTGAAACCTGGACATTTGGGGTTTTTGTTGTTGTTTTTTGAGTGGGAGTCTCACTCTGTTGCCCAGGCTGGAGTGCAGTGGCATGCTCATGGCTCGACCTCCTGGGCTCAGGCGATCATTCTGCCTCAGCCTTCCAAGTAGTTGGAACTACAGGCACCCCGTTTCCATGCCCGGCTAAGTTTTTGATTTATTGTAGAAATGAGGTCTCGCCAAGTTGCCCAGGCTGGTCTCAAAACCATGGGCTCAGGCAATCCTCTCACCTCGGCCTCCCAAAGTGCTGGGATTATAGGCATAAGCCACCACACCCGGCCAACATTTGGGTTTTATAATAAGACTCTGAACCTTAAACCTTCTGCTATAGCTGGTTTCCACTGACACTGCTCCAGCAGGGGGAGGACAGTACTGCCAAGGTATTGCTAGCTGGGAGAAATCCAAGTTTCTTTTTGAAAAAAAGGAAGAGGGGAGAAGCTCCTTGTTGCTTCTGGGTGGCATGGGCGTTCTAGTTTGTGCCATAGCCTTTAATGAGCACAGAATGCATGGCCTCATTACCACTGAGCAGTGATAAAGTCTGATCTCTCCACTGGAACATTCTCTGACACTACTCAAGCAGGAGTAGAAGACGTGCCTCGTCTCTGCCAGGGGAGAATGAAAGTCCAGGCTTCCCACATGGTCTTCACTATCATTGCCAGGTTGGGGAAGCGGGGTAGGAATTTTTCTAATGAGGAGTAAAAGTCCTGGTTTCCTCAGAAGGTAATGGGGAACCTCTTTACAGTCCAGTGAGGTCACAATGTTGGCTCCTCAATCAGCTATTGCTAGCATATATGGGGCCACATTTTTTTTCTGTGGTTTTTAGCTGGAATAGAGTAGTTATTGTCTAGAACATTTCTGTCTTGCTAGGCTGCCCCTTTCCTAGTCCTTTGGCCAGAGTGAGCAGACTTTTGTTGGCCTTTTATGTCTGGGCCTATTGACTTTTCCTGGTTACCAAGTCTGGAATGTATGTGGCAAAAAGAAAAGCTAAGGAAATCACCACCATGTTGTTTCTTAGGTCTGATGTCCATAGTCAATGTGCCTTCATTCTCATCACCTTTCAGAATATCATGTTTGTTTTTATATACAATATCTATTGTTTTTACTTAGAGGGAAGAATAGGGAAAATACATCTACTTCATCTTCCCGAAAGCAGATCTTTTTGCCCATGGGTTAAGTCAGTTCTCTGTTTTCTTATTGAAGCTTAAATGTTCTTTTAGTATTCTGGATTTAAATACTATAGTTGACATATGCCTTGCAAATATTCTCCAGACTGTGGCTTGTCTTTTCAATATCTTTTGAAGAGCAGAAGTTTTACTTTTTGTGTGTGTGTGTTGGAGTCTCACTCCGTTGCCCAGGCTGGAGTGCAGTGGCATGCTCACTACCACCCCGGCATCAAACTACAGGTGTGCACTACCATGCCCAGCTAATTTTTATTTTATTTTATTGTAGAGATGAGGTCTTGCCAAGTTGCCCAAGCTGTTCTCAAACCTATGGGTTCAAGCAATCCTCTCACCTCAGCGCCCCCAAGTGCTAGGATTACAGGCTTGAGCCACCGCAGTTGGCCAGAAGTTTTACATTTTGATGAACACAATTTATCAATTTTTTCTTTGATGGATGTCCTTTTGGTATCATATCTGATGAATTATCACCTAATCCCAAATCACAAATATTTTCCCCTATTTTACTTCTAGATGTTTTATGACTTTTAGGTTTTATATTTAGGCCTATGATTCATTTTAAGTTAAAGTTTGCATAAAGTATGAAATATAAATCAAAGTTTCTTTTTCTGAATATGGACATACAATCATTCCAGCATCATTTGTTGGAAAGATTTTTCTTTTACCCATTTTATTGCCACCGAATCTTAATAAAAATCAGTTGTCTATATATATGTGGGTCTATTTTAGACTCTATTCTTTTTCACTGATTTATCTATCTTCATTCCAATACCACAATACCATGATTACTATAGCTTTAAAATAATTCTTCAAATCAAGTATAGTCAGACTTTTCTTTGTCAATGTTCTCTTAGCTATACTAAGTCCTTTTGATTGCCATATGAATTTTAGAATCAGCTTGTCAATTCCTACAAAAAAGTCTGTTTGAATATTGACTGGGATTGCGCTGACTCTATAGATCCATTTGGGGACATTTTAATAATATTTAGTCTTCCAACCCATGGGAAAAGTACATCTCCTCATTTACTTAGGTATTCTTTAATTTATCTGAGCAATATTTTGTAGTTTTTATTGTAAAGTTTGTGCACATGTATATTAGTTGGCTTGAGATGCCACAACAAAATACCACAATCTATATGGTTTAAACAACAAGAATTTATTTCTCACAGTTCTGGAGGCTGGGAAATCCAAGATCAAGGTGCTGGCTGATTCAGCTCCCTGGTGAGAGGGCTTTTGCAGATGGTTGACTTTTCACCATGTCCTCACATGGTAAAGAGAAAGGAAGAGCTTTTCTTATCAGGGCACCAATCCTATCATGAGGGCTCCATCCTCATGATCTCATCTCAACCAAATTACTTCCCAAAATCCCATCTCCAAATACCATCACATTGGTGGCTAGGGCTTCAACATATAATTCTGGGAGTCACAAATCAGCCCACAGTGACGTATTTGTCAGATTTATCCCTAAGTACTATCAAATGTTTTGATGTTATAAATAATTGTTTATTTTCAATTTCCAATGGTTCATTGCTAGAAGATAAAAATTCAGTTAATTTTTATATGTTGATATTTCATCCTGCAATGTTTCTAAACTCACACTAGTTCTAACTGCTTTTTGTAGATTACATAGATGATCATGTCATCTACAAGAGTTTTAATTCTTTTTTTTATTTTTCAAGCTAGATGCTTTTTATTTCTCTTTCTTGACTTATTGCATCAAAGAGAACCTCTACAATGATTAATAGAAGGAATGAGACTGGACATCCATACCTTATTCCTGACCTTAAAGGTGAAGCATTCAGACTTTTACTATCAAGTATATGATGTTGTCTGTAGATTTTTCACAGAGGCCTTTTATCGGGTTAAGAAAGTTCCCTTCCAACTCCTAGTTTTGAGAGATTTTTAAAATGAGAAATGGATGTTGGATTCTGCCAAATGCTGTTTCCTGCTTCTGTTCAATGATCATATTTTTTTTCTTTTTTAGCTTGTAAACATTATTTATTTTCTAATGTTAAACCAACCATTCACTCCTGGGATACAGCCCATTTGGTCAAGATGTATTATTCTTTAAAAAATATTACTAGATTCGATCTGTTAAAATTTTGCTAAAATTTTTGACTTGTATTCATGAGAGATATTGCTGTGTGGTTTTCTTTCCTTTTAATGTCTTTGTAAAATATTCTTTTGTGTCAGGGCAATGTTAGTCTCATAGAATGAGTTAGTAAGGATTTTCTCCTTTTAAATTTTCTGGAAAAATTTCTCTAGAATTTATATTCTTTAAATGTTTGGTAGAATTCACCAGTAAAGCCATCTGGGCCAGAAGTTTTCTTTCTGGGAAGGTTTTTAACTATCAATGCAAGTTCTGTAATAGATATAAGGCTATTCAAATTATCTATTTCTTCTTGAATGAAGTTTGATAGTTTGTATCTTTCAAGAATTTGTCCATTTCATCTAAGTTATTAAATGTTTTCGGATAAAACTGTTCATAAAATATTCTTAGTTACAGAGTCTATAATGATGACATTTTTCTCATTCCTGATAATTTTAATTTTTGTCTTTTTTCCTAATCAATCTGACAAGGTTTATCAATTTAATTGATCTTCTCAGAGAACCAACCAAATGATATTCTCTATCATTTTTCTTTTTTCTATTTCAATGGTTTCTGTTCTGTTCTTTCTTGTTTTCTTTCTTCTGCTTACACTGGATGTAATTTACTCTTCTTTTTCTAGCTTCTTAAGTAGAAGCTGAGGTCACTGATTTTAAACCCATTTTCTTTTCTAATGTAGGAATCCAGAGCTAATAACTAACTATAAATACCATTTAAATGGCATCCCACAAATCTTGATGTGTGTGTTTTCATCTTCATCTGTTATATAATATTTCCTAATTTCCTTTTGGATTTTTCCTCCTTAGTCCATGGGTTACCTGGAAGTGTGTTATTGACATAGATATGTTAGAATTTTTCAATAGCTTTCTGTTACTGATTTCTATTTAATTCTATTGTAGGTAGGGAACATGGTGTTTTAATTGAACCCCTTTAAATTTACTGAGATTTGTTTTATGGTTCAAAATGCAGTCTATTTTGGTAAATATTCTTTTTTTTTTTTTTTTTTTGAGTCAAAGTCTCACTCTGTCACCCAGGCTGGAGTGCAGTGGCATGCTCACGGCCACCCCGGCTTCAACCTGCTGGGATCAGGTGATCCTTCTATCCAAGCCTTCCAAGTAGCTGGAACTACAAGCACATGCCACCATGCCCAGCTAATTTTTTATTTACTGTAGAGACAAGGTCTCACCAAGTTGCCCAGGTGGTCTCAAACCCCTGGACTCAGGCAATCTTTTTGCCTCAGTCTCCCAAAGTGCTGGGATTACAGGTTTGAGCCACTGCACCCAACCTTGGTAAATATTCTATGTGCACTTTCAAAGAATGTATATCCTGCAGTTGTTCTAGAAATGTCTATTAGGTCAAATTGTTTGATAATGACCCTTTATATATAAACTTTAATTTGAATTACTCAAAAACCTGAAAATGTAAATTTTAAGTTCTAGGCAATATTGAAGGCCAAAACATCCAAAATTCCAAAAGATCTCTTAAAATATCTCACTTAATGGAATTTAGTGAATTACTTAATAATTTTACACATTTAATATTATTTAATAATATTTAATATTCATCAAAATAAACCAATTATTTGAATAAATTAATAATATAATCGACATAATATATATGATATAAGATTAATATAATTAATAAACAAATTATTAAAATATTTTAAAAAATTAAAGACATTTAATAAAACATTTAATAATTATTTAATAAGTAAATTATTATTTAATAAATGATATTCCACTTAATTAGGCTAATAAAATAACTGGAGGAAGCCAGAGGAAAAAAATTGATTTCATGTCAAAATATTATTGATCTCTTGACCCAATTTAGGGACTCATAATGTGTTAAAGCCGAATGAGACCTCAGAGACAAGAACCAACATCTTATTTTATGGTGACTCTGAAAGACTCCGAGATACGTTCAGGGTAACACCCTGAATCTATGACAACCAGGCTTTAATCTGTATTACTGTTTACCTGCTCTACTGTGCAAAAGATGTGAGCATCATCCTGTTGAAAACGTCTGACTCTGGTCAAGCCGCTTAAAGTCCCCGACAGTTCATTTCTATGTAGAACTCCAAAATCAGCAAATCTAATAGGCATTTCTCTCCAAGACCGTGGACGATGGGCAAACATCAGACTAGAAAACGTGCAAATACACACAGCTTTTATATAGCACAGAAAAAATTAAATAATTATCTAAATATTAAGAAATTACAATTAAGCCTCAGAATCTGTAAACTCCTTATTCTTGTTCTGAAATCACCAGGTTAAAAAATTTTCCTTCTATGAATTATAGTACATTGCGTTTACATCACTGCAGCGCTTTGAGAAAGAACACTGTCTACTCTCTTCCCAGAAATGCTGTTCCTTGTCCTCATTTACCCAGTTAGGACTCACTGTTTATAATTCATTTCAAAGGCTACTTCTTAAGTGAACCCCTACTGAACATCTCCCCAGATAGGGCTAGTCACTCTCTCCTCAGGCTCCAAGAATAAATCGAACACACCCCCACTGCAGCACTGGTCTTCCTGTTTCATGACCGATTGTGTACATATCTGTTCTTGCCCACTCTGCTCCTGAGCTCCCTGAGGGAATGGAGTATGTCTAATCTTGATGCATTTCCAGCATCAAGCACAGGAAGTGTTCAACCAATGTTCCCTGTTGAATAAAAGATGTATCTTCTGCAGAAAGCACTCCTGACTACTACATCCTATGCCCCCTATGCCACTGTGGTCCTGCTTCCTTCTGAAGCATGAAAAGACAAAATGACATTCTCTACTTTCATTTAGCCTTACTTATCATTATAGTCAAAATCCCTGGCTACAGCTTTAAATGATGTCTAGTGAGAAAATGAGTTAAAACTGTTAACACAAGTGTTTTTGAGAATGCAAAGCACTAGCTTAGCCTCTACATTCTGTTTAGAAAAAGAGGTTACAAGCTGGGCTCGGTGGCGCAGCCTGTAATCCCGCGCTTTGGGAGGCTGAGGTGAGTGGATTGCCTAAGCCCGCGGGTTTGAGACCCGCCTGGGCAACTTGGCAAGACCTCATCTCCACAGTAAATCAAAAATTAGCTGGGCGTGGTAGCGCGCACCTGTAGTTCCAGCTACTTGGAAGGCTGAGGCGCAAGGATCGCCGGAGCCCAGCAGGTCGAGGCTGCGGTGGCCGGGAGCAGCCACTGCACTCCAGTCTGGGTGACAGAGTGAGACTCCAACTCAAAAAAAAAAAAAAAGAAAAAAAAAGAAAAAGAGATTACCGCATGTTTACAAACCAGTTTTTATAAAACTAGAGTTACATACATTTTGTGCATGCTATCGTCATAAAGTTGACATCTTTGTTATTATTATTGTTGTTTTTGAGTTGAAGTCTCACTCCGTCACCCAGGCTGGAGTGTAGTGGCACGCTCACAGCCACCCCAGCATTGACCTGCTGGGCTCCAGCAATCCTTCTGCCTCCGTTTTTCAAGTAGCCAGAACTACAGGTGCACACTACCATGCCCGGTTAGTTTTTTAATTTATTGTAGAGATGAGGTCTCACCGTGTTGCCCAGGCTGGTCTCGAATCCGCGTGCTCAGGCTATCCTCTTACTTCGGCCTCCCAAAATGCTAGGATTACAGGCTTTAGCCACTGCACCCACCTCTTTTAGTCTTCACCTAAAAGGGCAGAAAGACTGGGCATGGTGAATCATGCCTATAATCTCAGCACTTAGGAAAGCTGAAGATTGCTTGAGCCCAGGAGTTCAAGACCAGCCTAGGCAACATAGTGAGACAACATCTCTACAAAAATTTAAAAAGTAGCCAGGCATAGTGGCATTTACCTGTAGCCCCAGTTACTTGGGAGGATGAGGCAGAAAGATCACCTGAGCCCAGGATGTCAAGGCTGCGGTGAGTCATGATTGTGCTACTGCATTCCAGCCTGGGTGGCAGAGTGAGACTTCACCTCAACAAAACAAAATAAACAAAACAAAAAACAGAAAGAAGAAATAACTTTTTCAATGTTCAGAGATTTGTTTTAACAATTTACCTTCTAAGGTAAATTTACTTGAAACTATGTATGTTGAAAACAAAAATCTGTAATTGTGGAGAACTGTGTCTATTCACTTCTGGTTGTAAAATGTGCTAGTCTTACTTGCATAACAACTTTATGACAATTACAATCTTTCATAGAATCTAAGACAACACTAATTATAAAATGTACCTTTATGTACCACTGAGAAAGAAAATAACTTATTAAATCATGACATATCACTAAGATGTCACCAAATATAAGATTCATCCCAATTTCAGAAATGTTGAAATGTGAGGGAACAAAGGTATCTTAGAATTAGTGAAATCTAATAACCTATTGATTATGACCTCACTTGTCTTGTTATTCATCCAAACAGTATGTAAGAACTAAATGTCCTGCAAACATGAATATCTGAAGTGCATTACTAGTAGGAAGACAAATATGAAAACAACCTATAAACTTGATACATAATATTATCCTCTAAGAAGCAAAAAATCTAAATGGTTTCCAGCTAACATTCCATCCCTGCCAAAGACTAAACATATATATATATATTTTTTGAGTCAGGTTCTTACTCTGTCAGCCACACAGAGTGCAGTGACACACTCATGGCTCACTAAAACCTCAAATTCCTGGGCTCAAGCAATCATCCTGCCTCAGCATCCTGAGTAGCTGGGTCTATAGGCACATGCCATCATGCCCATTTAACTTTTTTTTTTGATAGAGATAAGGTCTCACTATGTTGCCTAGGCTGATCTTGAACTCCTAGGCTCAAGTAATCTTCCCACCTCATCATCCCAAAGTGTTGGGATTATAAGCATGAGCCACCGTACCCCCATTTTAAAATTTTTCCTTTTTTTTTCTTTAGAGATGAGGTCTCACCAAGTTGCCCAGGCTGGTCTCAAACCCACAGGCTCAGGCAATCCTCTCACCTTGGCCCCTCAAAGTGCTGGGATTATAGGTACGAGTCACCATGCCCGGCCTTCGCTCATATTTTCAAAAGTAAATCTATTCTTCAGAATGAAACAACTTGGTAAAGATAATTAATAATCACCACACTTGGAATTAAAATGATCATTTAATTCCAAAACACAAAATAATTCATTTAAAAAATAATAATTAGAAGCTAGTCATCATGTGAAACATGCTCTGTGTTCTTAGGGAAAGATTTGCTTCACTTTTCCTACTCACCAGTGCCCTGGACAATTCATAGGTTTGAGGGCAAAAGTGTCCTTTTCAATCTCAAAGGTAAACATATTCTCGTTGTAATGCTGCCAGTGGCCTGAGGCTTCCCAGAGTTTACTGTTGTATACATTGGGAGACAGCACTTCTGTGAAGTCACGTTTGTGATATTCCTCCTTTAAGATACATGCATTTAATGTTAATATCTGTGAGGAAAGATTAAAACTCCAACAAAGCAAATATCTTTAAACTTGGGATCATGTCTTATATTAATTCACAATTAACGTACCCTCAGCTTTTGGTGTGGTGGCTTCTGGATCATAAAAGTTTAAGATTTATATATGCTTAGTATATTTGTAACAAGTATCTTTATTTTACAGTGTACAATAGTATATAGCATGTAATGTTTCAATTACTTGACAATTAGTAATTGAAATACAATATACACAGAAACGTGGTATAAATATAAACTCCAAAGTCCTTCTACATTCTAAATAAACAGCAGGGTTTTTTTCTACTAATTAAGAAGTAGAATACTTTTATAATTTAATAAGCCTGAATGCCATGCTGCATGTTACAGTTTTGATCTATTTAGTTTTAAATAGAAATACAGTTGAGAATTTGTAACAATTTAAGTAGTTTATCTTTTTGAGTTGGAGTCTCACTCCATTGCCCGGCTGGAGTGCAGCGATCCTTCTGCCTCAGTCTTCCAAGTAGCTGGAACTACAGGCGCATGCTACCACGTCCAGCTATTTTTTTTTTTAATTGTAGAGACGAGGTCTCGCCAAGTTGCCTGGGCTGGTCTTGAACCCGTGGGTTCAGGTAATCCACTTGTCTTGGCTTCCCAAAGTGCCGGGATTACAGGCTGAGCCACCAAGCCCGGCCAAGAGTTTTTTTAAGCAAAGTTTAAATATTATTTAAACTTCTTTTTTTCTTTGATACCAGTTTGGTGATCTTTGTTGGGTAAATATTCTTGTGCACTTTTAAATAACGTATTCTTGGTAAATATTCTATGTGCATTTTCCAAGATCAGACAAGATTGGGTGTATTCAAGGTAGTCTGACAGTCTATGGGCATTTTCAAAAACTGTACATTCTACTGCTATTCTATAAATGTAAATTAGGTCACATTGTTTGATAGTGTTTGACAGTGATCCTTTGTATGACATGTGAATTAACACAAAAAACTGAAAAACTTAGAATCCTGAGAATCCTTAGATTCTCAACATTTGCAAATCACTTAATAAGTATCGGGCATCAATCTAGATCACCATACTTTAAGCAAGTTTTTTAAAAAACATTTCTCAGCTGGGCTCGGTGACTCAGCCTGTAATCCCAGCACTTGGGAGGCCAAGGCAAGTGCGCTGCCTGAGCCCGCAGGTTTGAGATCAGCCCAGGCTCCTTGATGAGATTTCATCTCTACGATACATCAAAAATTAGCCAGGCATGGCAGCATGTGCCTGTAGTTCTGGCTACTTGGAAGGCTGAGGTGGAAGAATTGCCAGAGTCCAGAAGGTTGACGCTGGGATGGCTGTGAGTGTGCCATTACACTCTAGCCTGGGCGACAGAGTGAGACTCCAACTCAAAACAACAACAACAACAACAAACACATTCCTTACAGTTAAAAAAAAATAGAACATTTAAAAATTACCAACAATAGTCTAATATCACTGAAAGGGACATTACTGTCCTCTTCAGCAGGGCATCTTTTCACTCCATTAGTGGATAGTTTGGGTCTCAGTCATTCAGTAAGCTGCTTTGCCCACCCTTTGTTTTTACTAACTTAGAAAACTTCAGTGAGGGAATATGTCATTAGGAATGGCAGTCATTATTTGATAGCTATGTCAGATGGTTTTATATATTAAGATTAAACAAGGTCTCAAAAATCAAGAGTTGTGTTTGCTTTTAATAATCCATCCTGAATATAATCACATTAGAAATTTATGTTTTGTCAAGGTGTTTAGGAATTATTTTAAATTACCCTTGCAATGGACTGCTTCTGTACCCCCCACCCCAATTCATATGCTGTCTTAAACCCAAAGTGACAGTAGTAGGTGGGGTCTTTGGCAGGTGGTTAGGTCATAAGGGTGGAATACTCATGAACAGGATTAGTGTCCTCCTAAAATGAATCCCAGAGAGCTCCATGGGTCTCTTTCTGGTATATGAGGTTACAACAAGGAGTCAGCAGTCTACAATCTGAAAAAGGCCCTTACCAGAACCTAACCAAGCTAGGACCCTGATCTGAGACTTCCAGCTTCTAGACTCATGAGAAATAAAATGTTGTTTGTGAGCCACCAGTCCACAGTACTTACTTATAGCAGCCTAAACTGACTATGACAATTCCCTATAGATGAAGTGTTAGTAACTACTATATTTATATACAAAATATATAGGATATGTATGCTACCTTATCTCTCTATAATGTAATATATATGGTTTTGTTACCAACTGATGACAAATCTAGGTGAAGGAAACACGGATGTTCACTGGACTACAACTTTTCTATAAGCTTGAGTCTTCCAAAAGTAAAGTTGGGGGAAAACGTGTATTTGATGCCAAACCATCAATTTTTTTCTCTGAAGAGTAAAGAAAATCAAGTGCTGGGAAAGAGTAAACTCTCAACGAGCAGTTTACAGCATGGTCTGGTCTCCTGAAGAAATACAAATAACTTATTCTGACTACTAAAAAATCATTTCATTCCTGAAGTGATAGTTTAAGATTACTGAAGGTACTGAATCTCTATCTGTGCTTAGAGATCTGGCCAATTGAAAACACCAAAACAGCTTGTAAGTGTCAATGTTGTAAAGAAATTGTTTAAGTAACTTAAACAATTGTAAAAAATAAAACAATTCCACATCAACAACTCCTTCCAAAAACCCCATTAAAATAAAGCAAAGAATATGTATATATGTGCATATATGTATCATAAACGCACGTGCGCGCGCGCGCGCACACACACACACACACACACCACACTTTCTTTTTTTTTTTTTTTTTTTTGAGTTGGAGTTTCACTCTGTTGCCCAGACTGGAGTGCAGTGGCCGCTCCTGGCCACTGCAGCCTCAACGTGCTGGGCTCCGGTGATCCTTCCATCTCAGCCTTCCGAGTAGCCAGAATTACAGGCGCGCATTACCACGCCTGGCTAATTTTTTATTTATTGTAGAGATGAGGTTTCAGCAAGTTGCCCAGGCGGGTCTCGAACCCGCGGGCTCAGACAATCCACTCACCTCAGCCTCCCAAAGTGCTGGGATTACAGACTGAGCCACCGAGCCCGGCTACATCACACTTTCTTTACTCACTCATCCATCAGTGGACACTGTGGTTGTTTCAATATCTTGACTATTCTGAACATGGAAGTGCAGACATCTTCACAAGGTAGTGACTTCATCTCCTTTGGAAGTATACTCAGAAAAGGGATTGCTGGGTCATATGTCAGTTCTAGTATTCTTTTCTCTAGGAACCTCCATACTGTTTTTCATAATGGCTGTACCAATCTATGTTCCCACCAACAGTATGCTAGGGCTCCCTTTTCTCTGTACCCTTGCCAACATTTATTCTTTCTTATCTTTTTGAAAATAGCCTGTCATGGTCAATTTTATTTGCCAACTTGACTTTGCCAAGGGGTGCCCAGACACATCATTTCTGACCAAGTCTGTGAGAGTGTTTCTGGGTGAGATCAGCAAATTGGTGGACTCAGAAAGTAGATCACCCTTCCCATTGTGATAGGCATCATCTAATCTGTTGAGGGACCAAATAGAACAAAAAGGTGGAGGAGGGAGACACTTGCTCTCCATGCTTCCTGCAGCCTGTTTGAACTGGGACATCAGTCTTATCCTGCCCTCGGACTTCGATTCACATCATCAGTTCCCCTGGTTCTCAGGCCTTTGGACTCAGACTAAAATTCCACCACCAGATTTCCTGGGCCTCAGGTTTGCAGGTGACAGGTCATGGTTTTTCTCACCTCCATAATCACATAGGCCAAGTCTTCATAACACATCTCTTCCTTTCTCTTTTAAAAGTACTCAAATTCACAGAGACAGAAAGTAGAATGGTGGTTATGAAAGGCTGCAAAGGTGAAAACGGGGAATTCTTGTTTCATGGGTGCAGAGATTAAGCTTGAAATGATGATGAAGTCCTGGAGTTTCAGTTTTGAAAGATGAAAAAAGTTGTGGAGATGGATGGTAATGGTTGCACAAAAATATGAAAAGTACTTAGTGAGAATGAATTGTACATTTAAAATGGTCCATTTTATGCATATTTTACCACAAAATGGTTTTATTGAGGTATAATTTATGTAAAATAAAATTCACCAACTTTTTTTTAAGTTGGGGTCTTACTCTATCACCCAGGCTGGAATGCAGTAGCATGATCATGGCTTGCCACAGCCTCAACCTCCTGACTTAAGTGATCTTCCTGCCTCAGCCTCCTGAGTAGGTGGGACTACAGATGCATGCCACTACATCTAGCTAATTTTTTTTTATTTTTTGTAGAGACAAGGTCTTGCCGTGTTGCCTAGGTTGGCCCCAAACTCCGGGGTTCAAGTGATCCTCCTGCCTCAGTCTCCCAAAGCACTGGGATTACAGGTGTGAGCCACCACGCCTGCCCCAAATTTACCAATTTTAAGTGTACAATTCAATAACTTTTGACAGATATATACAGTCATGCAACTTCTATCACATGACATAGAACATTTCTACACTCCAAGGAGTCCCCTTCTGAAACTATGGAGGATCCTTTCCCAACCCTTGGACTCTTGATCATTCTTCTGTCATTATAGTCTTGCCATTTCTAAAATGTCATATAGTGGAATCATGCCATATGAATTCTCTGATTGCCTTCTTTGGCTCAGCATAATACATTTGAAATTAATCCTTGTTGTGAGTCTCAGTACTTCATTCCTTTTAGATGCTGGGTAGTATTCCATAGTATGGATATACCACATTACACTTATCCTTTCACAAGTTGAAATTTAGGTTGGTGCTATTATAAATAAAACTCCCGTAAATATATCCAAATATAAGTCTCTATGTGGATATGGGCAAATTTTTTCTCTCTTGGGATAATAACTAGAAGTGGAATTGATGGGTCACATGTTAAGTGCATATTTAACTTTATAAGAAACTGCCATACTGCAAAGTATCTATACCATTTTATATTCCCACCAGCAATAAGAGTT